ATCACTGCCAGGCACGTGTCTCATTTTTCCTAGGATCTGGACGTTTCCCTGGCTCGGCCCATGTCTAAATCTGGCGCTGCCTGAGCAAATACTGTGAAGCGTGGGCAGAAGAGCTGAATGCCAGATGGGGCGATGCACCACATCACAAGACAGTCTGATGCCATACAATATACGCTTTGGCCTTCTAGTCCCGTTCTCAGCATCCACAAGCATTTTCCCAACATTTGTGAGTCTCGTGCTCAGCCCTTCCCTAGGGGGAAAGGCAGATGCCAGCTAGGGCAAATAAGGGAGGACACAGTCCCACAAGCACTCCATCTCCTACCAGGCATCTTTATTTCCAATTGACTTCAGTGAGAATTAAGGTTGTTCAGCTCTTTCCAGGACCGAGTCCTGCATTACTTACTGCAGTTAAGTTGTGCAGCCAGGAACAAACCCCCAGTATCTTGACTCTTCAGCCTGCGCTTTGGTAGCACATTGTACTTGTGACATGGCACGTTACTTGTACCACAGCTGATCAGTTGTGCTGGGTAGAGTGTCCACCTGTATCCGTAGCCACCGTGACAGGCTGTGCGCCAGCCACAACCCGAGCCTCTCTGCTGCCCCGCCAGCCTCTCCAACCTGAGCCGAGGGCCCCTGCTCCAGGAGCCAGAGGCCAGGTCAGCCTCTGTGGTCATTCTGAGACCGTGGTCTTTGCACACTCCAAATATTGGTTGGTCTCAGCAAGAGCATCGTGCTCATCACCGTCACTGGTGTCCCAGGTGAGGTGTCCAGTATTGAAGGTGAAAGTCTGCTTGCGACATAATTGCTTTTCCAGGTGGAACAAAAATCTACTAGCTCATTCCCGCAGGATGCCACCGCCTGCTTCACCGCAGAGCTGCACTCTTCTAGGTTGGGGCTGGACCATCCATAGAGGAAGGGAAGTCTGTGCGTTTGGTTACAAAGCCCCAGGCATCAAAGCCTCAAAGGCACTGAGGTACCTATTTTCCAATGAAATCTATTTAAAACCTATGACTTCAAGGGGACTTAGATGTCTAGTTATCTTTCAGGATCTGAATCTAAGGCCTTGAGTTATTTAGGGCTTGATTCTGTGAAGTGCTTGGGTGGGGGGGCTTTGTCCTCCACTGACAGAAGCAGGCGTTAAAAGCCCTCAGCATTTTTGTAGGATCTTTGCCTTTATTGTGGACTTATTATCTGGTGATTTTTTTTAAGCAAACAAAGCTGCTGCTACAGCCCCCCTTTCCTGGGACGTCTCGGTTCAGAACAACACAAAAGCCCGACTTTGGGCTGTTTCCGGCAGTGCCCTCGTGTGCACGCCAGGCTCCCAGAGCTCACTCTAGGAGTCCTGATGCCTCTCACAACTGACAGGCATCTTCTCCTTCCACCAAATTGCACTCCTCCTCTTCCGTGACAGCCGAGTCCTCAGATGTGCAGGGCACCTGCAACGCCTGTGGATTTCAATGGGAGTTGCAAATGCTTATCAGATCTGAGTGCTTGGCTCTAACTGCCTGTCCTGTTCATCTGGTCCCGCACTCTCCTAGGAGAGCGTGAGACAACCTAAGTCAGGGCTGTAGCTGTGAAATGCAAATGGTCCCAGCCAGCGGGCGCAGACTTCTGTAGGTGTTTAAGGTGCGGCGATTTCTCGTCATCCTGGCTGCAGATTTTTTTTTTCTTGATTATTTTAAATCAGCCAATATTTCTTATGTAACTCTTGCCACAAAAAAAAGTCATTACCGCCACCATGAATTATTGAGGGCCTCGCCTTAAAAAATCCCAGTGGACTCTATTACGCTAAATTCATAGCTATATGATGAAATGTAAACTCTCTGTTTACTGCAAGGGTCACACAGTCCCAGCAGACCTACCAACAGGGCCCGGCGCACGGGTCCTGCTGCACTTAGGACATGCCAGGCACTAAATGAAGATCTTAGCAATTAGTGTGATGGTCCTGGGAGAAGGCGGCTGTGGGATGAGGGTAATGTGGGAAGGGGCAAGTAGAGCTAACGTGCAGCTCTGTGCTGGCAGCAGTCAAGAAGCAGGTGGTGTTGGCCAGGAAAGCAACAGCCTCAAAAATCCTCCAGTTACCAGTGGGTGTCACTGCAGGACAAGGAGCGTCCTGTACCGAAGGGCTGGGGAGGAGGTGAGCTGGTGAGGATCTGAGAAAGGAAGCAAACCTGGATCTGCCATCTTCAGAGGAGAGATATTTGCATAGTCTATTAACCAGCCCCCACACCCCCCCTTTGTGTAGCACCAAGGCACCCTTTGCTAGATCTTAATTAATAAATAAATCAGTTGGGAAAGCTGGCTGACATAGCACTTTCCGTCTTCCTTTTAATTTTCTTTTTCTTATTGAATTCAGGGCTGGGGAAAGGTGTCGGACCCAAAGCCAAGGAAACAGGAGTTTCCAGGACACGCCCGCCTACATCTGCTACGGCCTGCGCAGTGGTAGGATTGGTTTATCCTTTGCCTCCCAGCCCATGTGGGAATGAATGAGGAGTTTGTTCTTGGTGCCTCTGCAGAGACTGGGTGTAAAAGGGGCTGGAGCAGGGAATTAGTTCAGGCCGAGGGGCTAGTTTCTGTGGTGGGGATTCGCGTTCAGAGGGTGCTGGAATGAGATGCGCTGAGCTGCTGTGAACTGGGTCCCTGCCCGGTCATCACAGTTCAGCTGCTTTTGGTCACCACCGGCTGCCTTGGATTTAACCTGTCAATCAAGAGGGGAAAGGCCCAATAGTCCATTATCTGTCCCAGGTGCCATCCCAACTCTCTGGAGAACACTTGTATTTGACTCAACCATTACTTCTCCTTGCCCTCGTCCTCCGTTTCTTGGCATCCAGCCCCGTCACTGCAACATGCTCAGTGCTCCAGCTAGGGGGGACACTCAGGGCTGCTTTGGGGATAGCTGCCTACACCCCTTCCCCTTCATCATCTCTTATAGTGCAGCCTTGCAAGGTGCAGAGCATGCCTGGTTCTCATTAACTTCTCCAGGAGAGGAGAGGACTCGATATCCCCCGGGGACCAGACACCTGGAGTGCAGCTCTAGCCTCCTTTTCCATGCGCTGAGGTTTAGATTTTCTACAACCTGGTGGCACTCACAGGGCATCATTAAGACCATGGAAATTTGTTTAGTTCTGTTCTAATAGATCCCTGCAGGGAGAGAGAGATTTTATTAGAACGGCTCTTTCCCCTTTCACCCAGCCCTCCAATGAGCTGAGTGCTCACCTCACATGGCCACAGAAGTCTCTTTCTGTTGCTGGATTGGAGGCTGCGTGTGACCCTAACCAGGCTGTGGCATGTTGTCAGGGTTTATTAGAAACACAACTGCTTGGCTGCAGCGTTCAGGTTCAGAAGCCAAGTCATTTTTAGCAAAACAAGACATTTAAGGCCCAGCCTTCTTTCTCCCCAGCGTGGTAGGAAAGGTCTCTTGTTATACCCAACCTCTCTCAGCACAGCAAACCTTCCTGTTATTCTGCCAGTTAATTCAGAGCTGCTTTATTCAGGAAGCCACAGCAGAGAGAGGGGGGAATACACAGTAGCTCGCTCTCTCCCTGCTCGCAGCTGGCCCAAGTGGGCTCAGGTGTGGTCAGGGTGGCACTTTGCTCCAGACACATCCCCACATAAATGGATTAACAGCACCTGCCTTTAAGGTTAGGCTTACCCAGAAATCTCAGGTAAGTTAGACATCTCTAGATTGTTTCAAGCCTCTGTCCCACCCATAGGTATATGCTTCATCTCAGGTAAGCAAAATGTCTTTATTGCCCAGTTTGCTCCTGCGTCCAGGTAAAACCATTCAGTATTAACGCAGGACTCCGTCCTCTCACGTGCAGGTTTGAAAGCTTAAGGTAGAGGTGGTTGGAGGTGGGATGCCCTGTGCTAGTTCCTGAACTGTCTGTCTGATTTCTTGGTTAGCTATAAGAGCACCTAGCTGTCTCTTCGACGTGTACAGGGTTGTTGTGCAGCTAATGCCCGGCAAGGTGCTAGGGTGATAGGGAACGTGCAAGCACTGTGTGAGGAAGAGGTGATGCAAACAAATGTTTAAAATGTCATATCGTACCATGCATGACATATACAATGTATATTGTATATATATATACAATAAACAGTATGCGGTGTGCTAACAGTGCTGCCGAGTGGAACATGCCAAAGGGATTTATGGTTTAGCTAACAGATTGTCAAATTGAAATAATCAGGACCATTTTTTGAGGCATTTTCTTAATATAAGACACTGTGTTGGAAGCAGCTTTTTTTTAAATCCTGCTGGTGCAAATGTTCTTTCGATCCATGCTTACATATGTGTCTTTCCCCTATTCAGCATAATGCAGCTTCTGAGCTTGTTATTGTGTATTGCTTATGGTATCGATTATAAGTTGAGTTGTGGATTTATTCATGGGCTGCACGGAAAATGCATAGGTCTGAATTGTACAACAGTTCATCAGAGCCAAATCCCTTTGGCTGGTATCAAACCAATAAACTAATTTCCACCAAGGCCCCAGTGTGGCAGAGGACTTCAGCATGTACCTTGACCTCACTGAAATTAAGCATAGTTGAGTACTTTGCTGAAGCAGGCCCTTAAGGAAGATTTATCTTCCCATCCAGCGAGAGAGACATTTTCATTGGAAAACATTATATAAATGATGGAAACCATAAGGCTGTTTATCACCTCTAAGGTACAGTGAAGGGAAAATTCACTACTTTCATAGTAGTAATACTGTGGATTAGCTGCAGACAACTCTGAACACAGTAGTGGAGCAGGGTGGTTAACAATACATGCAGATGTATGTTCCAAGTGAAGACATTGATACAGCAAAGCAGAAACTTGTTGGTAAATTTGTTCTTTATTCAGTTCTATCAATGTTAATGGAGGCTTTTTTAAACTTAAATCTTGGTATAGCATGTTGTACTATATGCCATCTTGGTATAGCACATTGTACTTGAAATAAAGCCTTACGCTACATTGCTAACATGTTCTAAAAGCATTAGGATAGACAGACAGTACGTGCATTTTGTTAGAGCATTTAGGCCTTGGTATAAAGACCCTGGCCAAGGGGACCGCACCTTGTAGGTTGTTCCGCATGGTAGACACTGAATGCTTTTTTCCGAGCATCACGGCTTGGAAAGGTACTGAGATGTGGAGCAACCTATAATGAGAGAAGCGGATATGTGCGATCAGTCACAGCGAGGAGAAAGTGAAAGGAAAGAGGCTTGGAACATGAGCTGGGAACTGGACTGCAGCCGAGCTCATCAGCTCCTGGCCATTTCAGGATGTCATTCTGCGCTGTACAGGAAGCCAGCTACCAACTTCCAAATGGAGACTGTCTGGCTGGCTTTCATGGTGGAGGTTATCTTTTAACACCCCCATAATGCATGAGTCCTCTAATCTCGCTGCAAGCAGTCTGCCATTGGAGAGGATGTGTTCAGGTGGGGCTGTGCCTAATAACTGCAAACCAAGCGGGCCTCATTTTCAGAGTGCACTTGTACTTCTCATTGCGGTCAGTGGGAAACACTGTTATGATGGCACCTGAGTCGGCCGGGATCAGGGCCTCATTCTGCTAGGTGCTGTATAAACATTGCTTCAGAGACTGCTCTGTTGTAAAGACACAGACTTGGAGAATGGGGAAGAGCAGAACAGGAGGGATCAGTGTGTGGGTTATATCACATTAGTTCCTGTGACTTTTGGGGTGCGTTGTGGTAGTGACAGGGTAGATCTGTATACACACGCAGAGCAAATATAGACAGGATATCTGCACGTGTATATTCAGATAGCCCTGTGTATATACCCTATGAAATAGTCTTTGCCCTCAAGACCTTCTGAGCTAAAAAGACAAGACAGGCCGAGGGCATGTTAAGATGTTCAGTACTATTACAAATAAGGAATGTATTAAATAGGAAACTTGATGCTTTACTGTTGATAGTCGGTTCTGAAAATGATGGCTACACCAATTGCTTTCACACAGCTGAAGTAAAGCAATAATTCTCTCTCTGAGTTTAAAAATAAGAGGGAGAGAACCAAGAATCTTTACAGTAATTATTTTTTCTCTTAAGACAGTGACTGAAATTTCAGAAAGGCAAGGATTTTTGTGGGTGATATCTTTTATTGGACCAATTGTATCTTTGGGAGGATATAGACAGGCAAGCTTTCAGGTATGAAATACCCTTCTTCAGGTCTCCGAGGGGAAAAAAAGAACAGTTTTTTCTTTCCAGAGTCAGAGGTTCAGACTCTGGCATTCCCCAAAGTGATGCTGGGAGCAGAGTCAGGCCAAGAGTCAAAGATCGGAGGACTTGTATCACTGACTTCAATAGCAGAGCTGGGCCAGTGCTGAACATTTTTGGCAACTCTACTCATACGTGAGGACAACGGTGTCATTTCAGTGAGCCTTACAGATTTCCAGTGACCACACAGAAGTGCATTCAATTTTCACTGGCAGTAGGACACTACTTGCAGACCTACGGCTGTAGCATGAGACAACTTGGAGGACAATGCTCTATTGGGGCATATTTGGAGTCCTAAGGGAAGACACCAGGAGCTTACTGACGAGCTCACCTGGTGACTTTGCGCAGAGCTGGTACCCTACTGTGATCCAAACATAGAAACAGGAGACAATAAGGAAACTTAGCAGTGCCTTCTCCAAAGTTGCACACAATCCATGGCTTCTCACCTCAGTATGAATAAGTGGGAGACACCAGGTGTAAACCAGGGGGCAAATTTTGTTTTAAAAAATGAGGGCTTCTCATAATGAGGGAACCTCAAGAAGTATGGTTGAGTCCCCAGCCAGTAATTAGTCAGGACAGGGGTGGTGGTAGGTCAGAGGTTGGTGTAGGAAGCCGGTGCCAAGCAGTGCGATTCTAATCTGTGATTTGTGTCGAATTCTTATTTTAAGTGATTAACCAAAGGGCATCTCCCTAGAGACATCTGATAATCTGCACCATTATTCCAGCAGGGTTTGAACTACCACACCAAAGTTATATATTTGATATGCCGAGTGAAGCAAATCGGGTGACGGGGTGCTAATGTCCTTGAATGCTTTTCGGACTGCACAGGCCTGCCGGTTCTCTTGTAGGGTTTTGAAGTTGGCCTTGTTTTCAGCTCCCCTAATTAAAATCAACTGTGTTAATCCAGAAACAACACTTTCACGTCAAGTCTCATAAAAAATCTCCATGAGATGTTCGCAGCTGGGATGCATTAACATCTGACCTTTCTTCCCACAGTTGCAGGGGGAAAATCTGTACATTTAAAAAAAATTAGTGTGTGTGCATATTTGTGTGCGTGTGCTACTTCCCCGTAGATTGCCTAGTTCAACTTATTGTTATAGAAAAGGGAAGCCTGCCAGTCATTGGTATACCAGTGTGAAAATCCCTGTAATAAAGGCAGTCCAGATGGGGGACTGATAAATAGTATGCAAGACATGAGAAGACCAAAACACTCAGTGTAGAGCAGACCTTCCACATGGTATAAATGGGCAGCTGTCTACTGAACTCAGCAGAGGATCTGGGAGTTGTGAGTTCAGTGAAAAGCAAAGAGGTGTGCTAAACCTTT